ACAGGGATAGCGGGTGGGATGCTCTTCAAACAGTCACCGTGGACTCGATGGGATGAATGGCCTGCTTCCACACTGTAGTGATTCTATGACTGAGGAGTGGTATTGGTTCCACCTATTGACGGGGTCATATGGAGTTGTGGACAGAACAGCTTAGCACCTTGAAGTAGTTAAAAAAAAACACCCAGGTCTTCCACTAGTCTCTATAACATTGTTTATTGTATCAATGTAATCTGTAAATGCCAACATGGAATAAGCCACTTCCTGTTCAATACAAGAGCCTCATCTAGTCGGGCCAGACTGTGCGGTCTCTTCCACACTGGACAATGCAGGCCCTGTAGATCCCTACACTTGAAGTTAAGATTTGGTTTTGACTCAAGCATATCAATGTCCATCAGCTCTTTAAGTTGTGTGGTTTTAAACTACAGCACCAACACCTTACTTGGTTCCACTCCAACCTACCCAATGCAGTACAATACCAACAATGACTTTTGCTTCCAACAATCCTCAATCACCACCTCATACATAGCTCAATATTTTGCTCTGGGCCACAATCTATTCTTCATGTATATTATCCATGAGATTGTGCCAGTATACAACCACATGCTGGCAATCCACTCGTTTCAATTCTGTCATACAAATGTGGACACTGAGAATTTGAAGCAAAAACAGAAAACACTGGCAATACTCAGTGGATCAGGCAGAAAGAGAAGCAGAGTTAACATTTCAGGACAGAACTGATGAAAGGTCATTGAGCTAAAACATTAACTCAATCTCTCCCTCCATAGATGGTGGCTGAGCTGCTAAGTATTGCCAGCACTTTTAGCTTTTTTCACTAATTCTCTGACACTGCCTTTAATTCCATGACATCCATGCTTGTCTGTTGTTAAAGTTACGGATGAGAAAGTTAATCCTTGAACAACATGAGCAAGACCAACACCATACTGTCTGACTTCTATTAAGAACTCCTTGTTACATGATGAGTCCAAAATTTTGTTAGAATACGACTGAATTTTATTTCATTTATTGTTGTCACATATACCACAATAGTGAAAAGTGTTGTCTTGCATGCTATACAGGCAGATCATATCATACAAAGTGCAACAAGGTACAAGGTAGCAGAACAGAGTGCAGACTACAGTGTTACAGAAGAGAGAAAAGCGAGGGCGAGAGGGCAGGCGAGAGCGAGAGCAGCGAGAAGAGAGAGATCAGAATTAACATTCAAGAGATCCTTTCAAAAGTCTGATAGCAGTGGGGAAGAGGCTGTTCTTAAATCTGTTCGTATGTGTATTCAAACTTTTCTATCTTCTGCCCAATGGAAGAAGATGGGAGAGAGTAGACTATAACCAGGTGGGAGAGATCTTTGGTTAGAGATAACAAAAGCTGCAGATAGTAGAATCCAATGTAGACAATCCAATATATCATCCTCAAAACACTTCCACCAACTCCAATTAGACCCCATCACCCAGAATATCCTCCACTCTGCACCCCTCTCTGCCTTCCACAGGGACCCTTCCCTTCACCACTCTTGAGCTCATGCCACAGTACCACCCCTCCCCCTCCCCCATGCCTCCCAACCACTCCAACACCCCTGGTACCTTCCCCTGTAACTGTAAAATATGCAACACCTACCTACCCACACACCACCTCCCTCACCTCCGCCCAGGGCCCTAAACAGTCCTTGCAGGTGAGACAGAATTTCACCTGCATCTCCTCCAACTTAGTCCACCAGCATCTGGTGCTCCCATTGTGGTCTTCTCTACATCGGCGAGACCAAACACAGGCTAGATGACTGTTTTGCTGAGCATCTTCACCTGGTCCGAAACGGCCAGCCTAACCTCCCGGTCACTGCCCATTTCAACTCCAACTCCTCCCCACCCCACACTCCCCTCTCCAACATATCCATCCTCAGTCTCTTCCAGTGCCACAGTGGATCAGATTGCAAATTTGAGGAACAACACCTTATCTCCCGCACTGGCACCCAAAACCCCAAGGACTTAACAGTGACTTTGCTAATTTCAAATATCCTTCCCACCCATCAGCTGACTCCCTTTCCAGCCCGGCCTCCTCCCTTCCATTCCACCTGCCAACCCTCCCTTCCAGCTATCAACCAGATTTATCCTCCCCAGCAACCAATCAGGTTGTACCTACTACTTGTGTCCACCCATCACCACCATTCCGCCACCTCTCTATCTGCAGCTCCCCCTAGCCCCACATCCAGGCCTGAAGAAGGGTATTACCCAAAATGTTGACTTTTCCTTTCCTCCAGATGCTGCCTGGCTTGCTGTGTTCTTCTAGCCTCCTGTTTGCCTACCTGGCAGAGATCTTTGATTATTCTGGTTGCTTTCCTCAAGCAGCAGGAAATATAAATGGAGTCAATGGATGGAAGGCTGGTTTGCCATCGAGTATGTACCCGTTAATGCTAAGTGACAGTTAACCGTCAGGCTGTGTTTGGAAGGTATATCCAGCAGATTGATGCTAATCCATAAAAAAATGACCACAAGAAATGAACCAACAAATACCTGTCACCTATTTTACCTAGTTGAAACTGGAGCAGTGTGTGTACATGTACTTAAGTGTCTGCAAAGAACAGGACTTCTTTATTAATTTATATAGTTTCTATTACATACAAAGGGGCCACACTGACAGCCTGATTTGACCACCATAAATTATTTAATTCTACCTAATCCTTTGCACTCAAGATTATCCAGCAAATATTATCCAATTGTCAAATCATAAGCACACACTAGACATTTGGAAACAGTGCTTGGTTGTTGCAAACAGCTGAAGGGTCACACTGTTTTATGCAACCCTTTGGCAAGTACAGACTACAAAGCTTTGACAGAGATTGACATTAAGGATGTATAAACAATCTGTACTGCATACATGGTACTAATTTCAGCCCCAAAATCCATCAATGTTCTGACAATCTTCTGGTAGAAATTTTTCAAAGATTTAATCACCAATTTTCATTGAACAGCAGATCCCCAATTTACCCAAGTAAGTTATTTTCAACAAAATGATGTACTCTTCCAGAACCACACAACAGCTTGTTCATAACAATGTGGACAATAGTGTGGATCTATCAGTATTATCTTTGTCTGAAACTTAAGTGGTAATCCTGCGCACTACATGGCTGAGTCTGGTGAGACTGTAGTGTCGATATCATTAAGAATGAGTAGAGATTGCTCTTTAAAGTGACAGAAACAGCTGCAACAAACTTTCATCTGTCTAGTGCCAGCTCCTCAATCCAGTCTTAACTTTCTTCAGTTTGGCTGGATGATCTGAGTTTGGATCGTCATGTCTTTTATCTAGTTTCAGCTACTTGCAATCTTTCTTTCAGATAGGGTTTGACTCAAAAAAATACAAGCTTTGAAACAGCAGTCAGTGCATCCAACAGGATACTACACATCTATTCAGACAACCATTGCACATGCTTTATCACTGATTCACCAAACCACGGGTTCCAGCACACTACACCCAGGAACTGCAACCCCAAATCCTCTGCTTTGTGACACGTCTACGTTAAATGTAGATTATACAACAGCAGTTCTTACAGGTATATGCATTATATGCAAATATTATTCGCATTCTAAAAGCATTTATGAGAAAATTCAAAAGGCTGTTTGCTTCCTTATAATCTCATTACATCCCAGTTGCAGTTAAAAGATGCTGCTGCTTCTGCATGTTGGAAAATGCCAACAGCAGCGTTTGCTCCCACACCTGGGCAATATCAGGTAGGGCAAATAAAAAGAGCAGTTATGATGCAGAAATGTGTTTCTGCATACCCCACTGTGAAGCAAACCTTTTCATACTTGTCCAAGTAACTTCGAAGACAGAGAAAATCAAGGTGAATTTACAGTGTAGAGATGATATCGTTAACAATGAATTAGAGAAGAATGACTGCTCTTTAAACCTACAGAACAGGTTACAAAGCATCTAAATTGGTCTGACAATTAAGAGATGTTTTGGAAGAAGTATATTTTGTTATCTATAAATAAGCGAGGTGCTTGCACTCTCCCGACCCAAAAAAAAGTGAAATAAAAAATTATTCCTCCTGGAATGAAATAAAAAAAACCCGCATCATTTGAATCAACAAGTTTAAAAACATCCATTGGCAAGGGGAAGATCTAACATTCCCAGAATCAAACTGAAAGTGTTTTGACAGAGCAACAACTCTTCTGCCAACTCCCATATAAACTGTTGCTAAAAATCAAGAGCTACATGATAAAATAATTCAATTTAGTTGAACTTTCTTTTTTTAAAAAAAACTCAATCCAAGGAGATACAAACCAGCACTACTGTGTTGCCAGTGAATTATGACAACTCTAAAGCATTACAGTTGAAACGATTCAGGAATCGTTGCACATGAAGGGAGTGTAGTTTTGGTGCGAAGTAATATTGCACAGGACCAGAAATGGCAGCTGTGGGTGGCCATACAAACAAACGAGAAGCGACAGCCTCGTGTCAAGCGTGTTATTCATCTTATTTCACACTGCTGTGGGGAATAAAAAAGGAATGAGAAGGGGAGTTTCCTAACTTTCCAGAAACGACACATTAACTATATACACCTAACAAACAAGCCGTGAGCACATCCAACGTCAAAAGAAAACAATTGTTCAAAAGTCCACGTCTGCCACGCAGAGTTGAAACTTTTCGTATTGCTTCAACTAAAATCATAAAAACAGTGCACGGTGTGGTGCATAAGTACATAAGCAGTGAGTTAACAAATGCAAAATGCAAGATAAGGCCAAAGACAAATGTCACGACAGACAAAAAAACTTGACCAAACATTCTAAACCTTTCCCATTTGAGAAAGAAGTTAGAGAACAAAAATACGTGGCGAATATTTTCCATTTGGTCCTGAACACCAACAATAATAAGTGATGAAAGGGGGATGCAAAGAGGCTGGTGAAACCACGATAATGATAATAACAACAAACACTGGGGCCAAGATGGCGACAAAGCAGGCTGCAGGGCAATAACATTGGCTGCCTACCCACCTCCACAGTGAGAAATACTCAGCGTCAGTCCCCTTCGATTCGAGTGCTTTCTTCGTCTTCTCTCCCTCTCTCTCCAGGCCTGCGCATCAACCCAATGTATTTCCGAGGGATCGATGTTTATTTTTTAAAAAATATATACTTCTCTTATCAGCCAGTCCAATGCTGCTGCGCCGCAGCTTTTTTTTTCTTCCTCTCTGGATGCTCGCGCTCGACACTCCTGCCGCTAGCTCGTGCTCATGCGCGCGGGGATTCCACCAAAACACGGAAGGTGTCCGCGAGCGTGTGTCACGTGCTGCTCCGACTCCGACGTCACAATCAGGGGCCCATTGTTTTGTTTTCCCACTCTCAGTTTCGCTGCTGTAGCAGCTTGGAAACAACACCAAACACGGAAGGAGAACACTGAGCGATGCACTCAGGGACAGCCAAATCCCAGTGCTTTGTACTCAACGATTTACCCACTTTCCCCTAACCGACCGCTCTATCCCCAGATTGTTGTTAGGAAGAGGCTGGCTGCAGCTCTGATGAGGGGATGATCAAGCTGAAACGTTAACTCGCGCTCCTGTCCACCATGCTTCCTAATCTGTTGAGCAGTTTATGTTTGTATTTAAGCAAGGGACAATGTAGTGGGGATTGAGTGGGCGTGGGCTGCACGGTGTCTTGAGGCATCAAGAGGTATTTTTTGCTCACGTTTTACACTAGTCGATGACCGATGTTTTCTCACAGTTTATCATCGAGAAGCCACTGACCTTATCAAAAGTTTTGCTCCATTCTTACAATGCATCTTGCTAATGAAAGGCCACGACCTGATGTTTGTTAATTTTTCTGTCTGCACAGATGCCACCTGACTTGGGTATTTCAAATACTTTGCTTTTCGGGGATAACATTTTTTTGTACTAGATTGTTTAAAACCTGGTAGTCAGTATTTCTCAGACTCTTTCCCTTTTGTCATGCCATTTCGAAGCTTGAAAATTGTTATGGCCCCGAATGAGAATTGTGAGCGCAAGCATACAGCTGTAATACTGTACAGCTGGTCACAACTCTGCGGCGGCCATTGCTACGTCAGAGTTTGCGACTCCAAACTTACAAATTGCAACTCCACGTCGGGCTCCGACCGCTGTTCTAATCCACCCACCACCAGAATAATTCTATATTTGCATTGCTACATACGTGATACCCGCATCATTTTCATTAGAGCTTATATTTCTGTTTCACTAACCTCTGATTTCTCATGGATTGAATGTTAAGCACCTGACATCTATTACATATTTGTGAACTCGACGTTTTATAATGGATAGAAATTAGGAAGACTAGTCCATTCGGCCCACTGATCCTGCTGCGTCATTCAATATGATTGTGGCTGATCGTTGAACTCAATAGTTGTAAGAACAAGGAACTGCAGAATCTGGTCATTGAGACAACATAGTAAGTGCTGGAGAAAGATAGCCAGTCTGCCAGCATCTGGAGAGAGAAAAACAGAGTTCACGTTTCGAGCCAAAGGTCACAGGAGTGTAAAAAGTTAACATTTCGAGACGCTGCCAGACCTGTTTTTGTTTTTCATCCAACTCAGCAACCTGTTCCTGCTTTCTCCCCATACCCTTTGTCCCATTTAACTCTAAGAACTACATCTGACTCTTGCTTGAAAATGTTGAAGGTTTTGGCCTCAACTGCTTTTTGTGAGAGAACTCCACAGGCTTACCACTCTCTGGGTGAAGCCATTTCTAATTTCAGTCATAAATGACCTACCCCATATCCTTAAACTGTGATCCTTGGTTCTGGACTTCCTGGTGTTCAGGAACATCCTTCTTTGACCCCAAATATGGAATTTTTTTTAAAAAATCTGCAAATCCCTCTCAACATCCAAGATCATCCTTCAATCTAATATTCCTTCCTGTTTCTCCAATACTCTGTTTCTGCTGTTGTCTTATTGCTTCTCACTCTATTGTACTTTGAATGAGCTAAAGTTCTGTACGGGTGTTACTCCACAACTCCACTATTTTCCATCTTGTTTTGTTGACTTTTTTTGCCAGTAATACAATGGGAAATCAGTGGATCTCTGTAGAGTTTTAAAAGCATGTTTTGGTTGTTTTTCACTGACTTGGACCAAAGTTTGACATATTAGTGTGGATAGAAGATCATCTGGGTGACAGAAAACGGAGTATGCATAGTACATCCTTGATTGCCAGGTTGTGATGAGTTGAATCATACAGGAGTGTGTGTTGAGGTTACAACTTTTCACAATTTACACCGGTGATGAATATGAGAAGAGTGAAGGCATGGCAGCTAACTTCCCAGATTGTACCAAATGTAGGAAAATACATAAGAAGACATAAGGAATTTCCAGAATGATTCAGATAGGTCTGAGTGAGTAAGCAAAAATATGGCAGTTGTTGTACAATGTGGGGAAATAAAAACTGTTCATTTTGTCAGGAAGAATGAAAAATCAGAGTATTATTTAAATTTAGAAAACTGCAGAATTCTTAAGTGGTGCAGGATTTAGGTGTTCTAATGCAGGTGACAAAAAGTTAGTGAGCAGGTACAGCACATAATCAAGATGGCCATCTTGATGCGATCCGTAATTATGAGAGAAGTTGAACATCAATGTATTTATACCACAGTTATGCAGAACATTGATGACATCACATCTTGAATAGTATGTGCAGTTTTGGACTTCTTACTAGAGGAAGGAAGTTGACTTGAGTGATACCTGAAATCAGTGTGTTCTCTAATGGACAGGTTGTTCTTGTTTCTACAAGCATTTAGAAGAGAAGAGTTTAGAAGATGATTTGACTGAAACGTGTAAGATCTTAAGTGGTCTTGACAAGGGATGAGTGCAGGGATGCTTCCTCTTGCATGGGAGTCCAGAACTAAGGAGTACTATTTCAAAATTAGGTTGAGATGAGAAGTTATTTTGGGGGTAGGCAGGTGTTGTGTGACTTGGAACTCTGGTGGTAGAAGCAGGGTCATTGAATGTTTTTAAGGCAGGAATAGCAGATTGTTGTCTGGAAAGATGATGAGAATCATAAAATCCCCACATTGTGGAAGCAGGCCATTTGACATTGAGTCCACACCGACTCTCCAAGGAGCATCCCACCTAGATCCACCCCCACCCTATCCGTGTAACCCTGCATTTCTCATGGCTAATCCACCTAGCTTGCATGTCTCTGAACACTATGGGCAATTTAGCGTCACCAATCCATCTAACCTGCACATCTTTGGATTGCAGAAGGAAACCAGAGCACCCAGAGGAAATGCACACAGACACAGAGAACTGCAAACTCCACAGTTGCCCGAGGCTGGAATCAAACCTAGGTCACTGGCGTATAAGGCAGCATGGAGCCACCGTGCAGTTGTGGAACTTAAAACACAAATATATCATCCATGATTAACCTAAATGGTGGAGCAGGCTCCTTTTTCTTGTCATGCTCAAGCTGCCTGGAAGCACTTTGTGGAAAAAATGGATATAGAGGTATTTCTCCTGTAACACGATAAGTTGCATTCTTGTGCGACGTCGCACTATAGCAAATCGCCATAGAAAATCACGTTGTAGGGAAATCACTATAGAAAATCACTTCACCTGAAAGTTTACATTATCCAAACAGCGTCCTTGATTCATCAATCATGTTACAGTCAATTCGTGTTAACTGAACACACATTAGAGCAGAAATACCTGTGGTATGCCAGGTTGTGCAAGCAAATGAGGAAGTTTTGGTATCAAAAAATAAAGTAACACACATTCCTTCTTGTACACATTACTTCAATATTGAGACTATGGCCCAGCTCTACTAGTCTCCAGATAGACAGGAACTGGATGTATCCTGAAGGATGCATGTTGGGACTGCTTGAACGTTTCAATGAAATACCCAAGAATTGTCTGGGAAGTTGTAACTTCCAATGGGCAATTACCCAGCATCTGGAATTCTCTGAAGTCCTCAAAGCAGAGTAACAATAGTAACAACATAGAGGGTTTTCACTGACTTCCTTAATAGTTAACTAAGAGAAGGTTAGTGGAATTAAAATGTGCTCTAACTCCTCAGTAACTGGACTACTGACCCAGTTACTCAGACCTGGCCACCCCTATCAAACAAAACTGAGCTGCAGCATCTCCAAACTTCCACATTTTTCAAAACTATCTTTCGTTTTAGCAAGCAATGTACTTTTAAATCATTATACAGTTTTCTTTCTCAATTTGTTATTGAAACATAATTCAACATTTAACTGATATTTAATAACATTCAAAATCTCTGCAGATTTGTACATGCAACAAGTTAAATACTCACCATAATCACGTAACCACTCAATAAAAGCTGTTGTTCTGTATCAGCTGATAGTGTTGAATTATGTCGACGTTTAGCTTTTGAAGTTTCATTGATTTTATCATGATTTATTGTTTTGTCAAAGATGTTTCATATTATACAAAACAGAAAATAAATTTACATACACCAATTCTTGCATGCTTCAAAACTAAAATAGTTGAAAATTATCCTGCATTTAATTACAAGGGCACAATTATTGTTTTATTCACTGGTGCCACTGGTTGGCCAGCATTTATTGCCCTTCCTGAGTTGCCTTTGAGAAGGTGGTGGTGAACTGCAGTCAATGTAGGTTGCCCCACAATGTCCTTAGGGAGGGAATTCCAGGATTTTGACCGAGTGGTGATGAAGGACCAGTGATATATTTCCAAGTCAGGGTGATGAGGCTTAGAGGGGAACTTGCAGGTGGTGATATAACGAAAATAATATCTCTAGGTTGTTTTGTGAGGGTTCTGCAACCCTATCAGCTACAGCCTAGTGACTCCCATACTTGTAACAAAATGCTGATTAAATCAATCGTTTGCCAGCTATATTGAACGATATTGATGCACGAACTAGGGAAGTGGCTGGTTCCAACAACCACCTTTCCTGTTTTCTCGCTTCAAGTTCACGTTCTTCAGAGATCGGAGTTAAGTTTGACTCCTGTTGTATGATTTTCAAACTAGTTACATTTAGTTTGCTGGACAGCTGGTTTCCGATGCAGTGATGCCAACAGTGCAGGTTCAACTTCCATACTGGCTGAGGTTACCATGAGGGACTCTCCTTCTCGACCTCACCCCTGGCCTGAAGCGTGGTGACCCTCTGGTTAAGATCACTACCAGTTGTCTCTAATGAAAGGGCAGCCCTACGATCTGGCAGGAAGGACAGTGGTGACTTTAGCTCACAGACAAGACAATGGCAGTCGCTCGTTTATCATTTCCTCAGCTACACGTTTAATTCCAAGACAGTCAGTCTGAAAATAGGTCGTAAGAAAGGGAAAAAAACACGCAAAAAAATCTACAATGTAAATAAAAATGAAGGCCTGGCACAGTAACAGCTAACAAAAGGGGGGCGGGAAAAAGGAATATTCAACGATTTGGATTTTTTTTTAATGTTGAAAGACCTGGTTTGTGTTCCCAGCACTTTCTGTTTGTAACCTGAAAGTGGAATTGTATATTTTTCGGAGATAGTAGGAACTGCAGATGCTTGAGAATCTGAGATAACAAGGTGTAGAGCTGGATGAAC